ATCCCACTACAGTGCCTCTTGATAGAGAGGAATAGTGAATTCATCCCACTACAGTGCCTTGTGACAGAGAGGCATAGTGAACTCATCCCACTACAGTGCCTCGTGACAGAGAGGTATAGTGAACTCATCCCACTACAGTGCCTCGTAACAGAGAGATGCAGTGTGTTTCTGAAACAGGACTCCTCCAGCAAAGGAGTTTCTCTGAGTGGGTAGCCCTGAGTCAATCTGCACACACGTCACAACAGGTCTCTTTCTGTAGGCGAGGTGCAGGAGGGTGCTATTACACAGTGCTTTGGGCGTTCTGGTTTCGTCTGCCCACCTAGAAACCATCCCATTCCTGTGACAAGGCCTCATCTCTTTCACAGTGACGCAATCAGACTCCGTGCACTTTCTACAGTGACTGCCTTATTGCTCCAGGGCATGACATCGAGGAAGAACCCCGCTTTAAAAATTACAATCTGTTGTGAAAAACTCTGCAAAAAAGTGCAAAGACTCATTTTTAACAATATTCTTACCACCAACGTGCTGTGGTATGGTCCATGCCTTCCATACATAGTCCAAAAAACAACAAACGTCTCTGCCTCCTCTGTCAGACAATCACAAAAGACTCATTTTATAACTCACAGAATTGTACCAATGTTTTAAAGGATTCAGAACGTTGTTTTCACTGATGCAATGCCATCGCTTGTCTTCTAGGGATTCCTCTGCAGGGGACGATGTTCAAACTGCCTGCTTACGAGCTGCTAGTAACAGTACGAGGTCTCCTCACTCTCCACTCCACTTATGCCTTCAAGCACAGGTTTAAGTTATTGTGCCTCACCTCTCAGGAATGTGTTTCTTTGTGGAATAAGTGAAGCACAACATTCTTCAGCTCAATTCTCTCGTGTGGTGAATGAAGACGGTCCCTCCCACAGATATTTGGGATGCTTGTGAATGAAAAGCTCAATCAACATACAGCAAAATCAGTTCTTGGTAGTGGAAGGCAACTTATCAATTCATCTTTTACTTGCTTTAGCTGACAGTTTTATTGGAAGTAGCACATGCTTGTATTTATACAACTGACCACCTTACTGAAACAGCTCAAGCAAAGGGTTCAATAGCTGTTCCCTGTGATTGGAACCTGCAACCACCCCATCATACGTCCAGGGCCTTAACAGCTACTCAACACTCCTGCCTTCAAGTCCTGAACGGAAATCTCTTCTCCACCTGCACGAACTCTGAGCTTTATATGCACAGCTGCTGTTCATAAAAATCAGTTTAAGATCAGTGTCATGCAAGGCGGCCTGTAAGGAAGAAGTAGAGAGCACTCCAATTTCTGAGCTGACTTACTTGAGGTACTGGGCTAGAGTGCCTCCATCCCATTCCCATGGTCCAACTGCAGCCCACAGCATGACACTCAAACTAGGACTTGGGCTCACAACACCAAGCACCAGCAGGACCGAGGAAACACAACTGTCTAAGGTGACTGAGCTCAGTCCCAGAATGCAGGAGGCTGTATAAGTGTCTAAGGTGCCGCTGCAGTAGGTGACTGAGCTGTCAGAGTCATTATGCCAACACTCCCCCACCCCCATGGAGACAGCATCTCAGTGATCCGTACAGAAAGCCAAGGTCTGACCTGCTCTGATTTCACAGAGCACAGAGCACATCCTGGTGGCTGGTGGATGTCTCAGGCACATACGAGTGGACAACAGTTGTTGGCCTTTCAGTTTATCTATCCTTTCCTACAAGCCAGCAGTCAGATTCCCAGTTCATGGGAGACTCCGTGTTGCTCCAGGACTGGTCAGGGCCCTGGAGTGGTGACTAGGAGGTGGAGGGCTCATATTCCAGGTAGGACACAAGCAGCAAAAGTAAAACAGTAAAATGCTGAACAATGGGAGGTCGCTTTGGATAAAGATGTTAGCAACTATATTAACAGTGATGTTGTGGTGCAATGCTTCAGCCAAAGTCCAACTGCTCTAACAGCCAAATCACTCAGCTCTTGTGAACTTCCTCCTCAGGCCTGCACATTTTCCTATGCTACCTGTCAGAAGCTCATAGCGTTAGTGTCACCCGTGTGAACATCAGTGTTATCGCTGCACCTGTTTCCGAACTCACAAGTTCACGTAACTCACTACTGAGTCCAACTTCTCGTGACCGCATTGACCTAGCTCTGTCGTAACAGCACACGCGAAGAAAGCGGCCACAGGATCGTTTTGTCGTGAGATATGCTCTGTCTTATGCAATGTTTTCCAATAAATCTAGATATGCAATAATTCCAGCAACTCGCTCATGGCCAACTACGCCAATGCACAAATCACATCACTAAGCCTCCGTATTCCTTAAATAAACGCTTTTCGGGTACACTGTTTTTGATATCCTTAGACAACATCCACTAACTCAACACAGCCCTTTGTCCTGCTCCACTTTGCATAAACTGAAGAGAATCCAGAGGCGATTATCTGCAAACCTTGCGTGGGTAACTTTCCTCGTCTAGTATCTGCTAGTTTTTTTTTTTAAGAAAATGAAACATGGATGAGAGAGGAAGGTTACACAATCCGCACAGGGCTCAACGTTTCACCCCCCTATGGAGATTAACGACAATCACCGACGATTACTTTCGAATGCGTTCTTTTACCCAAAACCGAAAAAAAAGTGCAAAACACTGCTCTTCACGCACGCATTCAGCACAGCCACCTCTGCCTTCTCCTCCGACTTCCTCTTTTAAAAGAGTTTCATTACTGTCAGTGCACCGAAGTGCAACAAAAAACTAAACTTTATTACCCAGAGGGTTCAACGTGACACACGGCAGAAAGACTGCGGCTGGAAGGATTCAAGTCACTTTGTGAACCGTGCGCCCTGACAGACGGGCAGGGCAGTGCAGGGGCGGGTGTGTGCGCACCGATGAGCGCTCTGGGGAGACAGCCTGCCCCAGCCTGTCAGACAGCACACGATCTCGGTCTTTACCTTGCCAAACTTCTGGTGCTGGACGTAGAGTTGGCCTTCTTTAACGTGCGTATCCATCTCCTTCCGTTCCCCCCGGGAGAGGGTTTTGTTTTCTTGTGAACTTGTCACACGGTTGAAGGACTTTTTTTTCTCCTTCTTCAGTTTCTTAACTTCTTTTTTTTTCGCCCCCAGACTTCCTACTGCCTGTAACTTCCGCTTGGCAAACGGCAGACGTTGGGGCTTGTGCACCAGCTGCGCTACCGAGAGCCACTGAGCCCGGACTGCTCCTGCTGCCCCATCGGCCACGCGAAGCGTCGCTGCCTCCGCGGCGTGCAAGCCGTGTTCTCCGCGCGAGCGCACGCAGGTCCCCGCCACGCCGCGCCACGCCACGCCTCGCAGCGAGTGTGAGTGCGGGACCGGGCTGTGACAGGCGCTGTACTTCGGTCCCCGCCAGCTCCCTCCCTCCGGCTCTGCCCCCGCACAGCGACCCAGCCCCCTCCGCACCCACCCCGCGCCGCGTCACGAGTGGCACAGCGGGGGCCCGGCAGCGCGCAAGCGGACGTTTCGCCCAAAATGTAGCAAAAAAAAACACAATTTTGTTCCAACTTATTGCAAGAAGCGCTGAGAAACTCAATGGAGTGATGGACGTGTTTCACATTAAAAGTTGCGCATTAGTAATAGGTGAACGTATATAAAATGTGAATTTGGCTGCGCAGAGTGTGGCATTTACAGTTGTCTGATCTGGGTAAAACTCATTTGGGGAAACATATTTTTAAATTGTTTTCCTGAGCGTTTAAAAGAGAGCTTCTGGCGATGCGTGGCTGACTTGTTCAGTCTTTGTAATTGTATTGTTGCCTCTAGATGGAATTGATCAAATTCAAATGTAGAATGCCAAGTATTAACTATTAATTATCAAGAGCGCACATGTTAAGCACATTACAGGATCATTTAGACACTGCGGTTAGAAGAGTGTACATTTTAAAATCAATTGAAGCTGATGTTTAGGTTACACAATCTGGTATGATCCCTGCTTGAATATGTCGACATGTGGGCGCTACAGGACCAAAGACGACTTTCCTGCTCTGCTCTGCTCGGCAAGTGGGTTAGTTCGGGGCTTGAGGGAAATGCTGTGCAGACACGGAATCTCTTCAGTCCTCGACAAGAAACTATCAGAGCGCTGGATACCCCCGTAGTTAAAACGCTCAAGAGGAAATTGATCAAGTCCGTCCGAGTCATATGGATTCCCAGACCAACTGGAAAACAAGAATGAGGACGCGAAAAAGACACAAGTAGAAAAGGGCTTTTCTTTACACAAAGGATTGTTGTGTAGAAGTACTGTAAATCCCACCCGGGTCCTACGCGAAAAAATCACGACCGAGATCATCGCAGAAGCAAAGTAATATCAAGAGCGCTGTTAGTGTTACTGACTCATGACCTTCCACCGCCCGAATCAAGAGCGAGAGCTCGGTCATCCTCGACCCCCGCAGCTGTCAACCGGCTGCATCTGAAACAGCGGCGCGTATTTGCTTTACACCTGTTTGCTCTCCCATCATTCATCTGTTAAATGTGTACTGTGTGAAGTGTCATGTCTTGAGCTGCCTGCACGGCACATTCTCCATCTGGGTCAGTGAAGTACAGGGAGAGCACAAATCAAGAGACGGGTCAGATGGTCTCTGTCATCTTTATTTTCACTAGTGCACCCGATCCTGAAACATAACACAAATTCATTGATAGAGAAATAACCTACTAAATTACCTATAATTAATATCGGCTTGGACAACACTTCTTGTGATACAGAAAACAAGATCTCCAGAGCTTTACACATTCATTTTAATATCACAGACATGACCACGGAAACCGCGACATCCTTCATTTAATTTTCATATTTTATTTGGTGTAATATATAGTTCATTGATTTCAACCCATTCATCAATGATGTGCGTTTAAGGATTATAGAAAGGCGGTTTTATTCATAACACATTTTCCACACACTTGAAGTTAGCAGTGGTTTCGCTGAATGTCTACGCAATTCGCAGATTTCTTTAAATAACGATTCGATCGAACACAAAACTATCAATTAAATCACGGGTGCTGTGGCTTATGACTTTATTTTCCAGCTACGTTTCCCTGCTCTGGAAAAGCCCAGTGTTTGCATTAAGCACCGTGAAGGTGCAGTTCAGTCAGCTGAGGCATCAGAGCCAAAGGCGCAGCGAGATATCAAGTGCTGGTGGAGTCTAGCTAGAGGGCGCTACAAACACTCCTGCTTGAATCAGAAGAGTCCTACTGGGGGAGGGAGGAGGAAACTCAAGAGAGTTGCA